ATAGAAAACAGTTCTGGGCAGCTTAAGCAAAGTGAGGGATTTGTTGAAAGGCTACCAGGGAACCTCATGAAAACCAAGGAAGAGTTAAGCCATCAAGCCCCAAGAAGAGCAAGAAGTTGGGCATTTCTGGGACCAGCAATAGCAGGTGGACGTGGGCTGCTCTCAGTTACTGACAGTCAGTGTCAACATTGTTTAACCTCTGTGTCCCCCTATTCAATACTGCCGGGAACGAGAGCCTGCCCTTACCTGGGACAGATGTCCTCTCCTGGTTAACCAGCTCTGGAGAAAGACTGGGTCACATGGACCCAACAGCACCCCAAGGTATCAGAGGCAATGTCCTGGGAATAGAGGAAGCCAGGCAGCCATCACAATAGGTATCTATCACAATCATTTTCTTTAGCCCATTTATTTCAGAGTAAGTAACTCGGGGCTAGAGAGAGATCACAAAGGCAGTTAGTAACAGACCAGGATTTGTTACTATCCTGTTATGATCCATCTCCCCTAAGTACTCCTACTGGGCTTTCTCTTGTTCTGTCCCACAGACCCAAAATACTCTCCCAAACTTGTCTTGTACTGACAGATCCAGCATCCCTACAGCAATGAAAAGGCCATGAGATGAGAGCGAGGAAGACCTATAGGAGTCAGGGTTCTAGATGAATAGCTAGGGTTAAAGGAGTTTGTAATTTCCAGCATAACCAGTTTATTGAAGGGGCTAAACTGAGTGGGAACACAATCAGGGGGTGGATTTATCTTCCTCCAGACAAAGCCTCCAATTATGATCCTATGTCAGGTCTCCCCTTCCACTTTTTAACAGTGTCTCAGTAGATCCCATTGCTTCCTTGTTATTTAAGAAACTAAAAAATTAAATAAAAATTAAAAGTCCAGTCCAGTTAAAATGTCAATCTTGCATCGAATTCAGAGCTGCTCCCATTCCATCAGCTTAGGTCAGCCTGACCCTGAGGCTTGCAATGGGGGAAAGGGGCATGGTGTGGTCTTTTTATCTTTCCTCACCTTCAGTCTCTTCCATCTTCTGTGTTTTTCAGAGTCAAGGTAGTAGATATGGAAATTATAGAAAAGGAACAAAAGGCCTAGTTAGCAAGTGTGGGTTATAGTTTTTGTTTTTGTTTTGGCTATTGATATTCTTCCTTATGGCAGGCTCCCTGTGCTGACTGATTCACAGGGTACATGTGTGGGTTCCCCAATGATGCCATGGACTTCTACATAGTGAGGTCTCCCAACTACATTTATGGAAGACACCAGCAGATGGCTAACCCAACAGTCCAACTCTGCATGTTAAGTTACAATATTAACTATGGTTTTTCCAGTCTCTCAGCAAGGAGAGGCCATGTGTTGGAATATTGGCCAATGAAGCTGAAGAGGAAGTCTGTTGACATGCTTCTGAAAACAAAGTGAAGAAAACAAAGGTGGAAGACTGACACTACCCAACCTCAAGACAATGGTAATCAAGACAATGTGGTATTAGTAAAAGAACAGACAAATGCATCAGTGAAAACAATGTGGCCTCTTTTATAAAAATGATCTATGCCCTTGAGGTGGGCCATTCTCCATTTTTGTTTTTGTTTTTGTTTTTTGCATTGAGCTAGGGTAGCCATCTCATGAACATGGGAGAAAGAAAATAGCAGATAACCAAAGGTATCACCTATCTCTCCCTGACTTACTGTTATGTGAGAAAAAATAATCCTTTATCTGTTTAAATAGAGTTTGAATTGGCTTGGGGGAAGGGAGCATCGCCTTTCTCATAGGGACAGGAGTAGAAAAGCAAAGCACTGTAACTCTTTGAGTTCCCTTCTATGAATTTTCTTTCAAGTTTTTTACCTTTTGGGCTGTTGGGAGGGAAGGTGTCTGGACCAGTTGTTATCTTTAAATCCCACTTAGGTGGCCTAGTGCCTCTCTTTAGTATGTGGAAGTATCATCTTTTGTCATAGGAGCTCTAGCTAGAATTCCAAGATAATAAATCCCAATTAACATCTTGTTACACCAGAGGGCTGGTAAAGGAAAGAGATTAGAAAATGAGG